AATGGAGTTTCATGTCCTTACATTAAATGAGAGACTATATCGACTTTTGTTACTTAACCAGATTTATCCAATCTGATAAATGAACCAATTATTTATCACACAGCATAACTATTGAACTATATATATATATATATATATATATATATACACTGTTGAAGGTGATTAAACATGTTGAATAATTCAAAGAAATCATACCTAGCAACAGAAAATAAAATTTAGCATGCACAATAATAATACATTTAATATTAACAATGACTGCATTATGAAATACTGTAACTACCATACTCCTATATACATAAACTACCGTTTAAAGGTTTGGGGTCAAATTAATACTTTCGTCCAGCATGAATGCATGACAAAGATTTCTATTAAAAACAAATATCTGAGCAGCAAATCAGCATATTAAAATTCAGCTTTGATCAGATAAATAAATGACACTTTAATATATTTTCAAACGGAAAACTATGGAAGATTGTTTCCGCCAGAGAATGAAAAATAAAAAATGTAATTGCGACTTTTTATCTCACAATTCTGACTTTATTTCTCACAATTGCGTGATATAAAGTCAGAATTACGAGATGTAAAGTCAGAATTGCATGTATCTCGCAATTCTGACTTTATATCTCGCAATTCTGACTTTATATCTCGCAATTCTGACTTTATATCTCACAATTCTGACTTTATTTCGCAATTCTGACTTTATATCTCGCAATTCTGACTTTAAATCGCAATTCTGACTTTATATCTCGCAATTCTGACTTTATATCTCACAATTCTGACTTTATTTCGCAATTCTGACTTTATATCTCGCAATTCTGACTTTATATCTCGCAATTCTGACTTTATTTCGCAATTCTGACTTTATATCTCACAATTCTGACTTTATTTCGCAATTCTGACTTTATATCTCGCAATTCTGACTTTAAATCGCAATTCTGACTTTATATCTCGCAATTCTGACTTTATATCTCACAATTCTGACTTTATTTCGCAATTCTGACTTTATATCTCACAATTCTGACTTTATATCTCGCAATTCTGACTTTATATCTCGCAATTCTGACTTTATAACACACAATTGCGACTTCATCACGCAATTATGACTTTATATCTCACAATTCTGACTTTATAATACACAATTCTGACTTAATATCTCGCAATGCTGACTATACATTATATCTTGCAATTCTGACTTTATATCTCGCAGTTCTGACTTTATATCTCGCAATTCTGACTTTATATCTCGCAATTCTGACTTTATATCTCTCAATTCTGACTTTATATCACACAATTCTGACTTTATATCACGCAATTCTGACTTAATATCTCGCAATTCTGACTTTATATCTCGCAATTCTGACTTTATATCTCACAATTCTGACTTTATATCTCGCAATTCTGACTTTATATCTCGCAATTCTGACTTTATATCTCGCAATTCTGTCTTTATATCTCGCAATTCTGACTTTATATCTCGCAATTCTGACTTTATATCTCGCAATTCTGACTTTATATCTCTCAATTCTGACTTTATATCACACAATTCTGACTTTATATCACGCAATTCTGACTTAATATCTCGCAATTCTGACTTTATATCTCGCAATTCTGACTTTATATCTCACAATTCTGACTTTATATCTCGCAATTCTGACTTTATATCTCGCAATTCTGACTTTAAATCGCAATTCTGACTTTATATCTCGCAATTCTGACTTTATATCTCGCAATTCTGACTTTATTTCGCAATTCTGACTTTATATCTCGCAATTCTGACTTTAAATCGCAATTCTGACTTTATATCTCGCAATTCTGACTTTATATCTCGCAATTCTGACTTTAAATCGCAATTCTGACTTTATATCTCGCAATTCTGACTTTATATCTCGCAATTCTGACTTTATTTCGCAATTCTGACTTTATATCTCGCAATTCTGACTTTATATCTCGCAATTCTGACTTTATATTGCAATTCTAACCTTATATCACACAACTCTGACTTTATATCTCGCAATTCTGATTTTATATTTCACAATTCTGAGTATATCACGCAATTCTGACTTTATATCTCGCAATTCTGACTTTATATCACACAGTTCTGACTTTATATCTCGCAATTCTGACTGTATATCACGCAATTCTGACTGTATATCACGCAATTCTGACTTTATATCTCGCAATTCTGACTGTATATCACGCAATTGTGAGATAAAAAGTCGCAATTATTTGTTTTCTTTTTTTTATTCAGTGGCGGAAACAAGCTTCCATAGAAAACAGCTAAGTAGTAATATTTCAATATATATATATATATTGTTACTGTATTTTTAAACTTTTTTTTACCGACCCCAGACATTTAACAGGCACTGTAAATACATACATACAATATAAATGTGAAACTAAAATCTTTGTGTTGAATAAAAAAAAAGGAAATTGATCAACTAGCCCATGGGATTTTTTAAAGCACCAGTCTGATTTGTGTGAGAACTCAGGAAGTGAGATCAGAGACCATACTGACGAGCAGCATTTTCAAGATATATTTATGATATTTTTGAGCCAGTAGCACACAAATATAATCACAGAACCCTTTTAAATGAGGTCAGAGACCCATAAAGTGAAAGACCCAAACCCAGAAGTGAACAGTCTGTAACATCACTCACTCGAAAACTCTTGCGTGTTACCCTCAGTGGACTCACAGGTATACTGGCTTCTAGAAGAGGAATAATACCTGGTAAGACAGTGTTACCATCAAAATATAATCACAGAAAATACGCCTTGCATGGGAAAATTGCATTATGGGTGTCACCAAGAAAGAAAATCCCCACCCCAACACCTCACTGTCTGCAAAAGCCTTCGTAAGGAAGAGAGAAAGAGAAATATGAGCTCAAGACTTTGCCTGTTTTATTGTTTGTCAGTGTTTCAAAAGACAAGCTTCTTTATAGACTTCTGTCATACAAACAATAACAAACAATTGTACAAACAATACAAGAATGTCTCCAAACACAGAACGTCATCTAACAGTGTGAAAACAGATTGCACCCAATGTTGCAAGAGAAAACGAGTTAAAGGTCCGAACGCAAGAACCACAGTTCAACAGAGAGAGAGAGAGCAAGCAGTTGAAAAGAGTTCAAAGGTCAAAGCATATTCACAGCACAGTAGTTACGTACGTACTTTTTCGACTAAACTTTTGTATAAAACACATCCAGACACAATGACTGAACTGGTCCCTTCTTGGCGAATATCTATTCTACACACGGTCTCCATTTTCAGATGATAAAAACTCAATTTCAGTTCATCGATCGTTTCTTTAAAACAAAAACTTAAAATGTACAATTACATTTTCCTTTCTTCAAGCTATTTCCATTGAGATTTCTGTTTTCCGATTAATTTCCGTCTTTTGCACTTGCTTTATAGCCTACCTGTATAAAGGTGAAGTGTGTCATTAGTCAATGTTAAAATGTGTTTCTAAGTCAGAAACTATGAGTAAACCATAGGCCGAGTCCGTTTAATAAAGAGTAAATGCTCCGGGGAACTATCAAAACATTGTTGTTTTTATTTTTTATTTTTATTATTATTATAATTTGTTTTTATATTATGTTAACCATATGCTTCATTATATATGTGCATACATACATCTCTAGTCTATTTCTGTGGCTTGTACGTACACTCTAAAAAATGCTGGGTTATTTCAACCCAAATTTGGGTCAAATATGGACAAACCCAAATGTTGGGTTAAAAATGTAATTAAAAAATGTACTGTTGAAAGTGAAAGTTGAAATTGGGTAAAAATTTTAAATTACATTTTAAACCCAACATTTGGGTTTGTCCATATTTTACCCAATTTTGGGTTAAAACAACCCAGCATTGTTTAGAGTCAGTTTTGGGTGTAACTAATTACTAAGTAATTAGTTACTGTAATTTAATTACTTTTCCCTTGAAAATGTAAAGTATGGGATTACTTTAATTTAATTACAGTTACTTCTGATGTAATTGAGGTAAATACTGCGTATAGATCAATCCGATCTCGCAGCGATTCGTATGCATTTTATGAGGTGTCTAAATATTACGACCGACCGCACTCGTACAAATTCGTATGAATTATTGTAAAATATGTATGAAAAAAGTGTGAAATGTCATGAGATCAGACATAAAACAATAGTGGGTTTAACATCAAAATGTATTGTCTGATGCTAAAAAGTATGTTTTTATAATGTAACCTTCTCCTCCTTGGTCAGTTTAAGGATAATTCATGCAATTTTATAGTATTTATTTGAAAGAATTAAAACAGATTCATGTCTATCATTGTATTATTCAGCTGGTTGAGATTGATATGGGATTTTGAAAGTAATTAGTAATTAAAAGTAATCAAATACTTTTTAGAGAGAGTAATTAGTACAGTAATCTAATTACACTGTTGAAGAGGTAATTAGTAACTAGTAATTAATTACTTTTTTACAGTAACTTACCCAACACTGTTTAGAGTGCACCTGTATGTATTGAAAATTTATCACAAAAACCAAACAAAAGCCATTGCTGTTTGTTTGAGGATCTAACCCATCCGAAATAGCAACAGCGGGACAGCCAATGGTGTGAATTTGGGGGCGAGACTATTTGTTTGTTGACCAATGGCTGTTTGAGAGAAATATTTTTTTACACACTTCACCTTTACTTGTAAAAATCCAGTCATGAATGCCAGAGCGTCACACAGAATCCTATCCCACTATACCCCAAATCAATGTTTCATTCACAATACTGAACGTTTTTTCATTTTTCTTATTCACAGTGTATTTCTAAATCATTAAAATGCCAAAGCTAAAATTTGTTAGATTTTATTTGTTAAAATTGGTCTTAGTTAGCAAGCTAACAGCTTAGCATATTGCTAACTGCTTAAATTAGCGACGTTGATAGGATTCTGATGGCGTATTCTTACTGAACCGAACGCGGTCAAAAAATGGACAACACAGCGCAGATGTCATCTGCAGTCATGCATTTTTACATAATGACAGCATCAGGTGGCTAAAATAAGGAACCATGCTTGCTAATGCAGACGGGCAGATTTGCCTCGGTATGCGAGCGAGTAAACGCATGCAAATACTGACAGCTTCTAGACAAGCGTTTCTCATTAAAAATCACATGACAGTCATTTGAGAGCTTGGCAATACAAGTACAAATATATAAAACAGACGGCTGCGATACGTTTTATAAATAATTTCGAATAGCTGACATCTTTTTAAAACTTTAAAGGGGTCAAAACACCCGTTTCGTTAGCATATGAGGGGTTCTGATGTGATGCGAAAGACAAAAAAGGTCTAGATAGGCAAACGTAAATGCCCATACATATTTCCATATTCTAGTTATAATTGCACTAATCCTCAGGACGGAACATAAATAAAAAGCACAACAAACATCATCAACATGAGGCAAAATAACATAAAAAGATGTAAAAAAACAAAAAAATACTGTCGGTAGGAAAAGTGCGCACAGTCATATTTTGCACATAATGACTCAATAACACTCAGAAACGCTGTTTTTGAATGACTAATTCAGTAAGACAAGGCCGTTAATCCATCAATGTATTATTTAATCGCGATTAACGTCACGTTTGAATGATGCCTCTAGCCGGCTATACTAGCCGTTCCATTACAATATTTTGTGTTAACCACATACATACGAACACAACGTGTAAACTATACTTGGTCAGGTGAGGAGGAAGTTGAGGATATCACTCAATCCTTGCTAAAGCTATTCCTGTTACGGGCTACAAACTGAGTACGTGCTCCTCCTCACAGTCTGCCAGCGCTCAAGAGCGCCCCCTAGCATTCGTCAATGGTGAGGCAGATAAACTCCTGAATACACTTTTTGTACTGCTGCTCTGTGGGACTGCTGCTGGGATATTGACCTGGCTGTCCGAAGGGCCCGTCCGCTTCCCGCATCTCTTCGTTCATCCGAGCTAACCGCAATCTAAACGAGACAGAGAGAACAAAAACATGGGTTTCGTGTGCAGTGGCTTCCCAGACGGCAACATGGTGTCGGCCCAGATCCGGGCCACATCCGGTACAAGTGATTTCAACACGTACCACATGTGGGCCGGATCTGGGCCGACACTATGTTGGGAGAATCTACAAGGGAAGTGAAGTACTGGACTTACAATGTGACGATGTCTGCATTGGCTGCCTGAACGGCGATACTGAGAGGGTCCTGCCCGTCTCCGTCCACCTCCATCTGAGAGGCTCCTCGCTTCAGGAACAAACACACCTGTCTGTGGACACAAACAAACAACACACACAGGGTTAAGTAAAACTTCACTGTGTAACTTCACAAAATGGACGCACCTCTTGAGGGAAATAACATCACAACATTGCTTTCCATCAAGAGGTGCATCAGTTTTTGGTATTGACTGCAAGTAGGGCTGGGCGATATGGCCTAAAAATAAAATCTCCGATTTTATTTTTTTTTAATTCGATTTACGAATTTTTTTTACGATTTTTCTCCCCCCCCCTACTTATAAAGGAACGCAATTAGTACAAACGGCAGACAACAACTAAAGCAAATGTTGCTTTTATTTAATCAAAAGCAAGAAAAACGTAACCCCGACTTCTGGAATGAATAATAAATAAATGAACACCCTCTTGGAATCAAAGTCCCAGTTGTGTTTTAAGTCACACTTTGTAAGTCCAGACTAAAATGAGACATATAGCGCCATTTTCTAAAGCATTAACAATACATTCAAATCTGAGGCAATTTTTTTATAATGCGAGGATTTGCCAGCATAAAGAATTCAGCACTGAACAAAAAGTATGTTTTGAGCGGTGAGGAGAGTCTATGTTAAATGCTTAAATTGGCCATTGCGTTCAAGGAATCAACATATACGGTACGTATGTGTGTGATTGACTACATCGCTCAACGCTGCAAACATGTTATACATAGAAAATCAGGCCTGTAAATCGTTTCTATTTTGTTTTGGTTGTTCTTGAAGCTTTTCTGCAACAGATGAATTTCAAATCTATTACTTTTTATATATTTTAAATATATATTTCTAGTTTGCGGGAGTCCCGCGAATCGTTTTAATCTCCCGCAAACCACACACACAGAGTGAGTGCATTACCGCCCGCGCTCGGCCATCAAATCTCATCCCGCGCCGCACTCTATTGGGCTGGCAGTGCACGTCTCTCAAGGACCCGGCCTGACCCGAGGATAGTGACGGGAAATATCGGCCCGAGCCATGTTGTCGCTTGCTGTATGCTGTTTCCGTTTCGTGTGTGCTGTCATGTTGTTGTTGTCGCTTACCATACTGCTACGTGAGTGAAACTAGCGCTACGGAAACTCCGGGGGGCCAAAAATATGACATTACACAAAAACTCGATTTACTTATTTTTTAAATCGCCCGCAACAAAAAATTCGAATTAATTCATTTAATCGATTTTTCGCCCAGGCCTAACTGCAAGAGTCCAGCACTCGGTAAAGTCTCCTCCAGCACATCCCAAACACTATGGATGAATTTAAGCTGTGGAGCCGATTCATGTGTGAAAAACTATTCTTCGTTCTCCTCCTAACCATTCATTCACAATTCAAGCCTGATGAATCTTGACATTGTCATCCTGGAATATGGTCGTGATGAGTCTTTTAGAGCCAGACCGATATTATCGGCCGATATTAGCCCTAAGGATGCACGATATATCGGCCAGCATATCGGTATCGGCCGATATATGTTATTGTTATCGGCCAAAATGTGGCCGATATATTAAAGCTGATAAATTAAAGCTGAGACACTTTTTGAGAACTGTTTATGTTTTTGAATTTCTTGAAATATGATTGAAATCTCTTCAACAAATGAAAATATGGTTCGGTACAACATGTGCAGCGCAAATCTGTCATATCGGCTATACAACACTATAACATGGACATGGATTTAATTGTGAGACTTTTGGTCTTGTAATCAGGCTCTCAAAATCAGATATTAATTTGGATTTAAGTTTATCGGCCGATATATCGGTTATCGGCTTTCAAATATAAAGAATTATCGGTTAGCGGTATCGGCCAAAATTTTCATATCGGTGCATCCCTAATTAGCCCCACTATTGTTTTATGTCTGATCTCATGACATTTCACACATATTTTACAATAATTCATACGAATTTGTACGAGTGCAGTCATACGATTTAGACACCTCATAAAATGCATACGAATCGCTGTGAGATCGGATTGATCTATACACAGTATTTACCTCAGTTACTTCAGAAGTAACTGTAATTAAATTACAAATAAATTAAGAGTAATCTCTTACTTTACATTTTCAAGGGAAAAGTAATTAAATTACAGTAACTAATTACTTACTAATTATTAATTATCATATTATTTTAGTTAAAACTCATAAATAACTACTAATGTTAGGGAAATCTGTTAATGTTTTGTTGCGCGTTTCTGGGGAAATAATATCGGCCGATATATCGGAATATCGGATTTTAAAACTAACAAATATTTCTATCGGCCTTCAAAATCCTTTATCGGGCGGGCTCTTTCTACATGGTTGTTTAAGAAATGAAAAGCTACACACTCCATCGATAAGGGTTAGATGATCTGTTGCCAAACATGCTAGAAACATAATAATCACTGCAATAATCATCCAACCATAGACTCTTAAGCATTTGAATTTTGGTACCAGTATTTGGTATTCTGACTTAACACGCAATTGCGACTTTACATCATGCAATTCTGACTTTTATCTCCCGATTACATGTTATAAAGTCAGAATTGCAAGATATAAACATGCCAAAAATAAACAGGAACATCCAAGGCACTCTCTTTAGAAAAGTGTCGGAGTGGTTTTAGTGTTGATTATGACCAAGCCATAGTAATAAAGGTTTTTTACTTTTCTAAAGAGAGTGCCTTGGATGTTCCTGTTTATTTTTATATGTTTTTTCCTATCCAAAGAGCACCTCAAACTTATACACTTGAGTCCAGGAAGCGCTTCTCTACAGACAATTGTTTATATAAACATGCAACTCGAATTCTTTCTCACAATTGCGAATTTGTATTTGACAATTCCAACTTAATAACATGCAATTGGGACTTCATATCACGCAATTCTCACTTTATAACACACAATTGTGACTTTATATCATGCAATTGTGAGAAAAAAAAGTCAGAATTGTAAGATACAAAGTTTTTATTTTTTATTCTGTTTCCATACAGATGACTAGATTTGATAAACAAAACTTTTATGCAAGGTTGTCACAGTCTTGAGTGATTTCGTACCCCGTGTAACCCAGGCACGTGGCGTGGTGGAGAGGTGCCCGTCCTCGCCCGTCCCTCTGATTGACGTCTGCTCCATTCTGCAGCAGGAACTCACAGGCTATCAGAGAGCCCTATGAGACGGATATCAAACATTAGGAGACACATTGATTACAGTAAACATCGATCATTAACACTATTAGCTCTAAAAAAAGGTGTAAATAAAAGAAAATTTACTGGATTACGCTTGACAAAAATACTATTTCAGTCTTTCTACTTGTAAATGGTTTCAAAATAAATCCTACAGCAGTTTTCTTCATCAGAACAGAGAGTCTCACCCCTGTGACGGCTTGTATTAATGCACTCTTGCTTTCGTCCTCCTCGTTGACCGAGTTGACATCTGCACCGTGTGCGAGTGCTTCCGCCATGACCGGGAGGTTCCTGGCCCGCGACGCCTTGTGAAGCAGAGCGTTCGCGTCAAGCTCCCGCCCGTCTTCTGGATCCGACGCTTCCTGCTCGATATCGACCTCTCCGCTGGATTCATCAGAGTCCTCACACTCTGCAATAAAACAGAAAGACATGGAGATACGCACAACAGATAGACACACTCACCTAAAGGATTATTAGGAACACCACACTAATACTGTGTTTGACCCCCTTAATTCTACGTGGCATTGATTCAACAAGCATTCTTTAGAAATGTTGGCCCATATTGATAGGATAGCATCTTGCAGTTGATGGAGATTTGTGGGATGCACATCCTCCCGTTCCACCACATCCTAAAGATGCTCTATTGGGTTGAGATCTGGTGACTGTGGCGGCCATCTTGGAACAGTCAACTCATTGACATGTTCAAGAAACCAATTTGAAATGATTCCAGCTTTGTGACATGGTGCATTATCCTGCTGGAAGTAGCCATCAGAGGATGGGGACATGGTGGCCATAAAGGGGTGGACATGGTCAGAAACAATGCTCAGGTAGGCCGTGGCGTTTAAACGATGCCCAATTGGCACTAAGGGGCCTAAAGTGTGCCAAGAAAACCATTACACCACCACCAACAGCCTGCACAGTGGGAACAAGGCATGATGGATCCATGTTCTCATTCTGTTTACGCCAAATTCTGACTCTACCAACAGAAATCGAGACTCATCAGACCAGGCAACATTTCTCCAGTCTTCAACTGTCCAGTTTTGGTGAGCTCTTGCAAATTGTGGCCTCTTTTTCCTATTTGTAGTGGAGATGAGTGGTACCCGGTGGGGTCTTCTGCTGTTGTAGCCCATCCGCCTCAAGGTTGTGTGTGCCGCATACTGGATGTTTTTCCCTTTTCACAGCATTCTTTGTAAACCCTAGAAATGGTTGTGTGTGAAAATCCCAGTAACTGAGCAGATTGTGAAATACTCTGCTTAAATCCCCTTTCTTTCCCATTCTGACATTCAGTTTGGAGTTCAGGAGATTGTCTTGACCCCTAAATGCATTGAAGCAACTGCCATGTGATTGGTTGATTAGATAATTGCATTAATGAGAAATTGAACAGGTGTTCCTAATAATCCTTTAGGTGAGTGTATACTAATGTAGGACATCTTCTCACCTTCTTCAGTGACACTGTCCACCACTGAGCCGAACACGAGTATGTCCGTGCTGCCGTCCGTGCTGCCGCCAAGCCCGCTGTCACTGCTGAGACCTGCGGGGCCAACGGGTGCCAAGCGAGGGACAAGTTACTCACACCGTGACCTTCTCAAACATCCTGTGCTAAACTCCTCACATAGTACATCATTCAATTATAATTAATCTGAAACAGGCTACGTGTTACTGCAGGCATTCCCTATAAAATCAACAGTGTTGGGGCTAATGCATTAAAAGGTTACTCACGTTACACTGAACACAATTATAGGGTTGCCCCCATTTTTCATGAGCTGAACTCAAAGATCTAAGACTTTTTCTGTCTACACAAAAGGCCTATTTCTCTTAAATATTGTTCACAAATCTGTGTTAGTGAGCACTTCTCCTTTGCTGAGATAATCATCCGCGTATCAAGATGCTGATTATTAGACAGCATGATTATCGCACAGGTGTGCCTTAGGCTGTCCACTATTATAGTGAGCTGGATGAACAAGTAAAGCGAGTTCCTGTCCCCATTTTGAGAGAAATAAGAAGTAAAAACAAATATGTTGTGTGTGGCGTGCGAACATGATGGTTATTGTTGTTCTAATCTAGACTAAATGTGAGAATTTTACATAAAATATATATATAAATAAATCTCACTCATCCTAGTAGCACATAAACAGATTCACTGTTTAATTACTACAAACAGTCCAATGCAAATTCAGAATATTAAGCAAACCTGCAAAAATGCAAATATCCTTAATGTATTTAATCTCATTGTATTAACCAATGTCTTTGCTGCTGAACTTTGATAATCTAATTCAACTATACTAACAAACAAAGCATCACATTTGTGTTTGATTTTTACATTTTTATTGATCAAGAAAGACTTTATTCTCCGGCATTAAATTCTACTGCGATCCAGGGGTGTGTTTCCCATACAACGTTGAGCATCGTTGAGCATTGTTGAAGAAATCAACTAGCTAAGTCACGACTGTTTCCCAAAACCATATTGTCGCAAAGTGGTCATTCAACCACGTTGGTTTATGAGGTCATGCACATGGAGGAGTAATAGCTTCTTTTAATGAAACTGTTTGAGATCGAGATCATGTCTATAATTTATATAAAAACATTGTTAATTCTGAGGAATATTTCTCATTTTTCTCAGTTATTTTGCTTTATTTCCAGATTCAATCATCTCATTCTTACATAATAGAGCATGTCCGCACATGCACAACTGAAGATGTAAATGACATTTGTATTAGGGATGGGCAACGATTAATCGCATCCAAAATAAAAGTTTGTGTTTACATAATATATGTGGGTGCATCGTGTATAATTATTTTGCATATATAAATATTTAAGAAAAAAATATTATTTATATATAAAATATTTATATATTATATATTATCTATATACAGTATACACATGAAAATATTTCTTAAATATATACAAGCATGTGTGTGTATTTATATATATATAAAATAATTATACACAGTGCACCCACATATATTATGTAAACACAAACTTTTATTTTGGATGCGATTAATCGTTTGACAGCCCTACCACAAAAAGCTACTTTTTAGGGAGTATTGCAGTGTTGTAAGTAACGTTCCCTTAACACTGACAGCAGGAGATATATGTGATAGACTTGATTTGTCTCAGGGGCTTTAGAAGATCAAATCTCATAAGAAACTTACTGCGAGGCCCTGAGCCTGTGTCAAAGTAAGAGAAGAGTGAATCGAGCTCATCGGGACAAAACAAAGATTCTCTCCGAAACTTGGCGGCCGCAGCAGCTGAAGGTGACAAACAGAGAAGGACATTTGAGATGATTGGACATGAGATTTGGACACAACCGTGTCCAACTCAGATGAGCAGAACAAACATGTTCAGAAATGAGCGAGCAATTACCAGCGGAGAGATTGCCTGGCGACATGATCCCGGCGTCGTGCCTGTATTTCCGGCGTGTTTTAGGGGCTCTGATGGAGCTGTTGTGTCTCCTGCACTTCTTCACGCTCCAGTGACGGGATTTCCTGCTTCCCTCCACCAGGGCTTCGGAGCCACACATCTTCTTCAGGAACTTCCTCTCCACGTATTTCGCTTTGATCCACGCTTCTTTCTCCTGCCTAAATAAAACATCAGAAGCACAAACGGGAGCTTCTATTAATGAAATATTACATATATAAAAATATAATGACATCAAAAGGAAAAAAAAAAGTTAGGGATTAGAGCCAGAACGATATATCGGCAGACCGATATTATCGGCCGATATTAGGCATTTTCCAAACTATCGGTATCGGCAGTTATAATGGCCGATAAATAAATATATTTCAAAAATAAAATAAAAACGGACAAAACACGCTTGAACCATGTCGTGAGTGTTGGAGTTGTGTGGTTTGTCCACCAGAGGGTGCTCTACACCGTCAATGGTTGGCAACACTCGTTGAGTTGGTCACGTTGCTTGAATAACAATTAAAAACATCCCCATCAGTTCTCTTAAGTCAAATAAGCATGACAAAATTTGTGACTATCATGTCCAGTTTTAAATAAATAAATAAAATATCGGCCGATATATCGGAATATCGGATTTTAAAACCAAAAATATTTGTATCGGTATCGGCCTTCAAAATCCTTTATCGGTCGGGCTCTATTAGGTTATGAAAATATGATATGAAAATATCGATATGAAAATATCAATAACCGATATATTGGCGGAAAAATCTAAATCCAAATTGTTTTATAATTAAATTTTGGAGAGCCTGATTACAAAAATAACTCCCAATATTCAAAAGCCATGTCCCAAGCACACAATTATAATGATCTCATTATAATTTTACGTAGCCTATATGACAGACTTGTTGCGCTTGACTTTTGAAGAGATTTCAATCACATTTCAATCAATTCAAAACCATCATGTTGAACAGTGTGCATCCGAAGTGTCTCAGATGAAGGAAAAAAAATCTGTTATTTACCAATTTTTGTTATCAGGCCGATAACGATAACATTTAAAATGAACATATTTCGTGCGATACCGATATGGAGGCCGATATATCGGGCATCCCTAATTTAAGTTATAGATTATGGTAATTAATACAGAGATTTGGCCACACACACTGACCTTGAGCTGTTGGGACCGGGTTTCTTTAGTCCTTGTTCCTCACACGCACCTTCATAAATATGGTTGATTACAGTGTTGCCAAGCTCACACATTAGCTGGAGAGATAAAGCATTATTCAATCAATAAAAGTCAAACATATTAGAACCAAAACTATGTAATAAGCTTATCTAAGATTAAATGAAAGCATAGGAAACTATAGTATAGGAAGTATAGGATTTTAGCAGCAAAGACATTGGTTAATAGAGTAAGATTAGATCCATAAAGTATATTTGTGTTATTTAACATTTAAAAAGGAGTAGTTCACTTTAAAAAAAACTTTTGCTGATAATTTACTCACCCCCATGTCATCCAAGATGTCCATGTCTTTCTTTCTTTTCAGTCGAAAAGAAATTAAGGTTTTTGATGAAAACATTCCAGGATTTTGTCCATATAATGGACTTCAATGGGGTCCAAACGGTTCAATGTCCAAAAGACAGTTTCAGTGCAAACTGTTCAGAGGGCTTTAAACGATTCCAGATGGTGAAAAAGGGTCTTATCAAGGGAAACGATCACTCATTTAAAAAAAAAGTTTAACAAAGCTTTGACCCGCGTTCGTGACTCTCCAGTTCAAACTAGTTTATCAAAAAGAACAAATCTTTTTTCGAGTCACGAACGCTCATCACAGAACAGAGCAAGGCGAGCATTTGAGCTTATAAAACTTTTTTTTTTAAATGAGCGATCGTTTCGCTTGATAAGACCCTTTTTCACCATCTGGAATCGTTTAAAGCCCTTTGAACAGTTTGCACTGAAACTGTCTTTTGGACATTGAACCGTTTGGACCCCATTGAAGTCCATTATATGGAGAAAATCCTGGAATGTTTTCATCAAAAACCTTAATTTCTTTTCGACTGAAGAAAGAAAGACATGGACATCTTGGATGACATGGGGGTGAGTAAATTATCAGCAAAAGTTTTTTTTAAAGTGAACTACTCCTTTAAATGTAGTTTTCCTTAATATTCCAAGTTTACCGTTTTTATTTAATTGAGGAATACTGAATCTGTTTTTGTGCTAGTGGGATGAGTAAATGTCTGTTCACATTTAGTCTAGATTAGAACTACATTACCCATCATGTTCACCTGCATTACTTATTTGTAAATGAAGTCTATTTTCATAATTAAGCATCCCCCATAACGCTTATTGTTTATGTTGTAATTCTCATTATTATTATTCTTTTATTATAAAACGGAATTTTATGCAGATCATTTGCATGCACGCTTCTATAAAAATATTTATATAAAGATACTACATTTATATAAAAATACTACAATAATACATGCATACTCAATTGCATAGTAATGAGAATTAAGTTTTGAAAAAGGTAAAGAATATTAGATTATTTTAATATAATTTGTATTATATATCAATGAAAATTAAGTTTCTTCATTTTATTTTTCTTTGATATCTTTTAATTTGGTGTTAAATGAGATTCACCCTTTCAGATCGCGCTTCATCACTCAGGTCTTACCTTCATAAGCTCTGGCTCCCACGTGTCCAGTGTTAAAGAGCGAACTTTAGAGCAGTGGACACCTAAACTCCTGCACACATAGAATAGAGATCATAAACATTACCCTATAATCAAGAATCTTCAATATGGAATTATTCTGATTTAGGCACACATACATTTTATACATCCAGTTCTATTTTGCCATGATTAAAAATACATTTTTCACTTATACTAGTCAAAGTGGAACAATGGCACTGTAGAAACCCATCCGAATCTGTCAGATCTCCCTCTGTTGTACGTGAGTAAATCAAATCTAGTGCCTCTGTGTATCATGAGTGCAGTCTTTGAGGAGGCAGGAGAGGTTTAATCTGATTATCAGGCCGGCGCCGCTAATCTGCAGAGGAACTGATGAAGCAGAAAAGGTGCTTCACCCAGAGGGAATGACGCAGTGTGTGTACACGAGCATCACAGGGATGAGGGCCTGATTCACGTAAAGCCAGTCTGCTGTTGGGTTCAATCTGTCATCGGAGATGTAGTCGGGATAAACGCACTGACGCAGGAGGCTTTAAGACCTATCAATCTTCAGTCAAAACAATATAGAAACAGATGGCCTCTCTCGGATGTTTAGAAATATAATAGGAAGTGAGCATCCCTTTGGCCCTCTGACTCTGAAGGGCCCTTGAAGTGAGCACTTTGGAGGAGGCAGGGCACTTGTGTGACTATGTAAACGTTTGAAACACACTTGGTGACGGAACAACAAAAATAGCGCGATTTCTTCATTATTTTCACTTGGAACGTCAATGCAGATTGGTTTCCATCACTCCATTAGCTGCTATTACGATTTAAGAATTTAATTGTTGCAAATAAATATATATTGTACAGTTATGCTTTATATGTGTACGGCCTAAAACGAACACTCGTCAAGCGACAAATAAGAGTAAAAATCAGTCAAGAGATTCATTCAGTGATTTTGTTTTTATATTTGTGTTTTGTTATTTGAAAAACATTAAAAAACACAGACTAGGGCTGTCAATCTTCCTCTATAACACTATTCGAATTCCATACCTTATTTTATGTAATATTCGAATATTAAATGCTCAAATTTATCCAATTATTAATATTTACGACATTACACATTCTTATGGATCGTCAGTGCCACTATAGCCTGTGGTTGTTGTTACACGTTCGGCCCACTAGAGGGACATCTAACGTTACTACAATAAACATTTAGGGGCTGTTTACACCTGGCCACTTCATGCGTTCTCTCAGATCGGATAGCTCTGATTTATCAAAACGATTCCATTTACAATGTGTTTTCGCAAAACAGATTTAAATCCGATCTTCAATTCCCGCGCTATATGCGGATGTAATGAAGTGCACGTCACCGAAAGCAACAGATTTGAGCTGCGTTTTATTGATCATCGGCTAATTTCAAAATCAGCAAAGACAGCAATAAGGGAGAGCGGCAACAGAACGTGTAATATCATTTCACTCCTTTACTTTTAATGAAGATGGTAATGTTAAGCGTCTGTGACTTACTTTCACTTTGATTTGCGATAGATTAAAATCTCGCGGAATCCGCGCATAACATACATAGCACGCGGCGCGTGCATGGCAGAGAGGGAGTGAACGAGACCTTGCGAATGTGCCACGCGAAAGCTATTCCCGCGCTCTCCTATTGTTAATAAGAAAGCGATAAGGGGCCGTTTACACCTGGTCACTTCGGAAGAATATATTTATTTTTAAATATATATAAAAGCAATATTCGAATAGTAACTTTAGCGTTCGAATAGTATTGATTTTTTTAATATTCAAATTTTATTCGAATTTCGGAATTCATTCCAACAGCCCTATACACAGACAGCAGCAGGAATATTAGGCTGCTGTCACTTTAAGAGCTACTATCTAATATAAGACATATGACTATATTTTCTGGACTACTCTCTATTTTTTAACAATTTTGTGTGAATTTGTCCACCCAACTTCAAGAAGACATAAGCGCACGCAACACGAGCACGATTAACAAAATAAGCTCCCTTTCGCAATGTCTTTGTCAGAGCGTAAACTTTCTTTAAAATGAAGCGCTGCTGCTGGCCCGTCAACTGTCCCGAGTGTCATTTATCGTTGTTATAATTCATGAAAATGTTACCAGCAAACTGGCGAGTGACACCGTTTTATATACTCACCAAGCGACAAATAAGAGTAAAAATCGGCATTGGCGAGTATATAAAACGGTGTCACTCGCCAGTTGGCCGATAACATTTTTATGAATTATAACAACGATAAACGACGCTTGGGACTAGGGCTGGGTGATAAATATCGATTTCTTGATATTAATCGATTCTCATTTTTTCAGCGCTGTGATCCCTAACCCCACCCCTTAGATCTGCAACTCCGCCCCCTGGATCTTTGTGCTGTGTGTTCTAACTTCTAGCATCCTCAAAGGAAGCGATCTCTGACCTGTGTATGCCAGAGCACTCGATGCAGAGCAGGATGCCGAGGTTTATGCTGGCCCAGCGCGGGTCGGCCTGGCCACAGTCGCAGCAGATCTCGTTTCCCGGCAGACACTGCACGCGCTGTAAGATGCTCTCTCCTCGAACGATACGCTCCCGCGGCTCGCTGGCGGAGTCGATGCTGCTCGTGGAGGGAGAAGCTGTCCTGTCCAGACGCTGGAAAACAGTACAAAGAGTTTATACTCATACCTACTCGATGTAAAATACAAAACTACCGGTGTGTAAAATGCTATATGTAATAGGGTCAATGGCACGGTATGCTATTCATACATCAATTGAGGAATTCATGTGGTGCAACTCCCCCAAATGTAAAATTATATGAATTCATTATTTACAGTACTTGTCTGCATGTCTATCTTCAAAAAAATATATTTTCAAACTTTTTGGAAAATACTTTTTTTTACAGGAATAAGTGTTTCACTGCTAATTAATATTTGTTCTGAGATATGGTGCGACTAACAGAAAAAAATAAAATCATAAAACAGGAAATGACATCACAGAAAGGACCTATGAAGATCATCATAACTGTATGTCAAGGTCAATAAACCTCAAAAAATATCTGATTATAATAAAAAGGCAAAATTAGTACAGATTATAAAATGCCACAATTACCACCAAAATTTAATGATATTTGTCAATTATTAGTTTATAATGTGTAAAAAGAATTACTTTCAAAAATATATATTTTTGGAAACAACAACCATAATACAGGAAATGACATCATATCGGATAATTTGACTGTTTTATAAAAAGACAAATTAGTTCCGTATTGTAAATTGTAAAAAACGGTTCTGATTTAATAATTTATGTTATTTAGCTTGACACGTATTTGAAACCTATTTGAAAATGAATTATGATGATGTGTACATTCAAGGTTATTCTATGTGTAAGGATCTTTATTAGCCTATACCACATGGCATTTTTAAAGTCATTCAATTTATACTTTGCTTGAAATTTTTTTTTAACTTGGTACATTTTTAAGAGCTGTAAATGAGGATTTAAAATCGTTTTTTAAAATATTTTTTCTTATTCTTTATTTAAGACACTCCTATTTGTCACTGACCCAATTCTGAACTTTCATTTGAACTTTGAAATGACTTTTCACCAGTTTACAGTTCATATTGATATTAAAGGAGTAGTTCACTTTAAAAAAAACTAGGGCTGTCAAACGATTAACCGTGATTAATCGCATCCAAAATAAAAGTTTGTGTTTACATAATATATGTGGTGCACTGTGTATAATTATTTTGTATATATATATAAAACACACACATGTATGTATATTTTAAAAAAAAATTATTTATATATTAAATATTTATATTTATATATAATATAAATTATATATAAATCTATATACAGTATATATATACGGTATATATATATATATATATATATATATATATATACACACACACACAGTATAAGGGTCTTATCAAGTGAAACGATCACTCATTTAAAAAATAAATAACAAAGTTTAAGTTTTATAAGCTCAAGTGCTCGCCTTGCTCTGTTCTGTGACGCGCGTTCGTGACTCTCCTGTTCGAACTCGTTCATCAAAATGAAAAAATCTTTTTCCGAGCCATTTGGTTAATTCAACGAACATAATGAACGAAATGACTAAAAAAGATTTATTAATTTCGCTTGATAAGGCCCTTATTCATCGTCTGGTGTTGTTTAAAGCCCTTTGAAGCTGCACTGAAACTGTCTTTTGGACCTTGAACCGTTTGGACCCCATTGAAGTCCATTATATGGAGAAAAATCCTGGAATGTTTTCATCAAAAACCTTAATTTCTTTTCGACCGAAGAAAGAAAGACATGGACATCTTGGATGACATGGGGGTGAGTAAATTATCAGCAAAAGTTTTTTTTTTAAAGTGATCTACTCCTTTAAATGCCATGCATGTGTGACACTGACACATTATACACAGCTTCTCATAGCAGATTTAGTAAGACTGACCTCTATGTAATAGTTTTCAGAAATCTCTCTGTAGGCAGAAGCAATGCTGGCCTGAACCGCCTGAATCCAAGCTTGACGGAGCTTCTCCGATTCAGCCTGCAGCATACAGCTCCTGATGGGGGTTGATTCGCATATTAGATACCGCACACACACACACACACACACACACATGACACAGTACTCACTTTGTAGGCGACACCACTTCAAAACAGAACCTTCTCTCAATGTCTTCACATGGTTTCACAGAGCAAAGCCGCAGGTCCTCCACAACCACGGTCAAAACGTCCTACGACACACAGCAGATCAGGTCAGGTCACAATAGTCATGTGCAGCACTTGAAAGCAGTAAAAGTCTCTAAAAGTAAATATCTGAATCCTACACTCAGAGGAGAAATGTCTTAAATGATGGCACAATACTTTTTATAAGTAATAAAGTATGTTTATGAGCTGTTTCATAACATTTTATCGAAAAAAAACAAAACAAAACTAACCTCTACAAAGTTCTAATATACGAAGCACATGACAACTCTTTATGGTTCGATATAGGTTAAAAGGTGCTATATAGAAGAATGTAGAAAAGTTGAAACACTCACTTTTAGTCTCTTCTGATAGACTAGTTGACTGTTCTGTATCGAAAACCATCGCCTGTTACGAGAGGAAAACATTAGATCTTCTCCACAAAATGCATGGTATACATACAGTACATATAGAGCCTGTATTTACCTGTTCCACGTCTTGAACGCATTGCTCGCCCTCTTGAATAGGTATCCCTCCATCACGACACCATTGGGAGCATCCATGTTGAATTCTGCCTTGGAGTCATCATAAGCAAAGTCCTGCCGCACAAAACAGAGCAGTTCGTCATTCACACACACAAACTAGACCCTTATTGTTCTGTTAAGTCTTCTGCGAGACAAAAGACAAAACTTAATCCCTATCAGTCAAAACATAATCCCCATGACCATAGCAGCCATATCTAATCCCTCTTATTTCAATCAATAATGACCGGCGGCCTCTGAATGGCGTTCCTGACTCGGAGGTATTGCTCAATCTATAAACCAACTGTGTTGCTATTGAGATGTTAGCGATGCCTTCTAAAATGCTCAATGAATGATTCTCCAAGATCAATGACACTCACCTTCCAATGGATTTTTCAAGTTTTGTGCTCTGACCACACACACACACACACACACGTTTGTTTCATTATATAAGTAAGGACATTGCATAGATTTCCATTGATTTGATATCAGGCTAATGGCCTGAACCAACCCCTACGCCTACACCTAACGATTACAGAAACGCATGTAAAAAACAATGTCAATATAAGAAAACTGATATTTATATGCATTTTATGTAAGTAGTCAGAATTTCAGAATTTCATCATCTTTGTTTTGGACAAATAAATAACAAATCAGGTGTCTGAATATTTTTTTCTTCTTACACTCTCAGAAAAAAAGGTCCAAAAGCTGTCACTGGGGCTGTACCTTTTCAAAAGTTACACTTTTGTACTCAAAGGCTGCATATTGGTACCTTAGTGGTACATATTAGCACCTAAATTGGACATATTACCACCTAAAAAGGACATATTAGCTCATGAAATTGACATATTAGCTCCTGGAATGGACATATTAGCACCTAAAATGTACATTAACACTTAAAATGTACATATTAGCACCCAAAATGTACATATTAACACCTAAAATGTACTTATTAGCACATGAAATGGACAAAAGTTTACCTTTTGAAAAGGTACAGCCCCAGTGACAGCTTTTGTACCTTTTTTTTTTCAGAGTGTAGTATGAGCTCCATTTTCTCCTATCATACTGTATATGAACCACAAAAGTCTGATGTATTAAATATGGCCCTCAAAATAAAACATATATGCAAACCTATTGAAAAGATTTTTTTAAAAATGTTTTGTCTAAAGCTCTAATAAATTGTTCAATTTCAAAATAGCAGCATGTTATTTCATGTCAGGCTTTACGGTTCAATAAGAGTGTTTTAGGTTATATTTGAAGAGTTCAGATGCAAAAGCCTCTAAATGCCATTTGAAATTTTCTTCTAGAATGATCATTTTTATCAAGCTTATATATTCAAGTTCAGTAATTTTACTGAACTTGAATATATAAGCTTGATAAAAATGATCATTCAAGAAGAAAATTTCAAATGGCACTTAGAGGCTTTTGCATCTGAACTCTTCATTTCATATGCAACACTGAGTTTTAATTTTATAGTTGCTTCATCTCTCTATTCATTAAGGCATCCTTGGCCTGAAAAAGGTCGAAGACATCTGTAATAAAAAGTAAAATACACACTAACTAAAAAATACATGACTACTCAGAAAAATAATGTTAAATACAGTAATAAAATATGTATCCAGTACGTGTAACAAATAATATCTCAACAGTTCATATTGATATAAAGCACAGATGATTTATTCTAACTCACCAGGGTATACTTCAACCTCCCGAATATCTTCATCTTTAAAAAATGTTTATCCAGAAGCATCAGTAATAATTGAACAACAAGCAGTTTCCCCAAAGAGCTCAGTCTTGTTTCCCTACAGTGAAGCCATCTCACGTCAAAGTCAAAGTCACGCGCTTCATTGCCCTCGTGCGCACTCCTCACTCAAGCGCGAGCGACACGCGAATGCCAGCGGCGAGCCTGCGCATCAGCCATCTACTGCTCAATATTCACATAATTAGCATACAGCTGTCGATTTATGTGCCCTGCTCTTCGCTTTGCCCCCTGACCTCAGTCAGAGAGCCGACCGCAAACATAATTTCACAGCCACGTACAGAAGCACCGCGTCATTCGCGGATTTATGAGCGCGAGGTGCTCAAGCGCGCTCCCCACTCGCGAGAGTCGCGTTTTAAGATGTCCCGTCCATCTGTCTGACAGTGCGCAGGAACATTGCTGTTTAATCAAGCGAGCGTTATTGCCCCCTAAACCCCTCCTGACTCCTGAGAAGCTGTTTCTTCCAGCTCTCACACTCTCGAACAAGTGGATGGATTGCATGAGATGTTCCACTTGTTAAGGATAACGAAAAATTATGACACTGAACCTTAATTAGTGCAATAAGATCAATTTATGTTCAAAAAATATTTTGCTCTTTAATTTTTCTTTTAACATTAGTAGAGCATTTAATTTAGAAAACAATGTGTTATGAATTTTTACAAATATATTGTAAAATTATATATAGAATAACACATTTGTAATAAATATTATATAATATTAATAACTAATATATTTGTGTGTGTGTCCGTGTGTGTGTATACCTGTAAAACATTTATTACAAAATATTACAAATAGATTGTAGATTGAGAGTCCACCAAATTCAATTCAGTTTGGTGTAACCAATATGCAAATGTTCATTTTTGTGTGTGTGTTTGTGACAAAAAAAAAAACACACAAAAAAACAACAAAAAACAATTAAACGGAAAATATGAACTTTTTATGTCAAGGTCAAAAAGTCGGAAAATATGATATTTTAATCTTTTTACGTCAAATGCAGCAACTATTTTTTTTTTTTTTTTGCGGGAAAAAAACAAACATTTTAAATTAATAATAATAATATAATAGTAAATAGTAAAATAAAACTAATGATAAATAATGGAAAATATTTTTTTCTTCTTAATATTAACGCTATTACATTTTTGTTGAAAATAGAAAGACCCTTTTTTGTATAAATGCATGAAACATTAATAAGATAGCATTTCTAAGAAATTGGCACGTGTTTTCAAGTAGATTTAGAAAAGATTTTTCCTTTTCATCATCTCAAACATTTGTGGTAAAAGTAAAACTGCACATTTTGCAAGTCAAATTCAACACAAAGAAACTTGCGTATGTTCAGCTTGTGAAACAATTGCAAAATAAACAAATGCAATCTGGTTCACAGTCCTTTATTCGCCACGTTTTGTGTTCTATGTTAGCACCGTATGCACACACACACACACACACACACACACACACACACACACCTTGTGCAGATGAGTCTGCCAAACAGCGGAACTCAATGAGACTGAGAAAGAGAAACCCCAAGGGTGCCAGAAGCATGTTACATGTGAATAAAAGAGTGAGTTAGTGTGTGTGTGCATGTGTAGGAGTGACAGATGCAACACGAGGAGGTAGTAAAACAGTGAGGTGGTGGGACGGCCAGGGAGATCGTAACTCTTCACACTGAAGAGAACATGTTCAGGCATCTCTGCAGACAAATCATCTGATAAATCAACAGGATGCTTCCGCCCACCGCTTTGCTCAGGAATCGCAGCTGCTCTGCTCTCATATGTCATTTATAAAGAAAATGTTTTGCATATATATATTTCTTGGAACTTTACATATTCTGAAGATTTTGTCTATGCAAAATATGTATTGTATTGGGTTGTGTTGTGAGTATTTGCAGAGCGTTTCTGTATTTGGTTGTGTTGAGTATTTGGAGCACGTTTCTGTATTCGGTTGTGTTGTGAGTATTTGTGGCGCATTTCTGTATTCGGTCGTGTTGTGAGTATTTGGAGCATGTTTCTGTATTCGGTTGTGTTGTGAGTATTTGCATCACGTTTCTGTATTTGCTTGTGTTGAGTATTTGGAGCATGTTTCTGTATTCGGTTGTGTTGAGTATTTGTGGCGCATTTCTGTATTCGGTTGTGTTGTGAGTATTTGGAGCATGTTTCTGTATTCGGTTGTGTTGTGAGTATTTGCATCACGTTTCTGTATTTGCTTGTGTTGAGTATTTGGAGCATGTTTCTGTATTCGGTTGTGTTGAGTATTTGTGGCGCATTTCTGTATTCGGTTGTGTTGAGTATTTGTGGCGCATTTCTGTATTCGGTTGTGTTGTGAGTATTTGCAGAGCGTTTCTGTATTTGCTTGTGTTGAGTATTTGGAGCACGTTTCTGTATTCGGTTGTGTTGAGTATTTGGAGCATGTTTCTGTATTCGGTCGTGTTGTGAGTATTTGGAGCATGTTTCTGTATTCGGTCGTGTTGTGAGTATTTGGAGCATGTTTCTGTATTCGGTCGTGTTGTGAGTATTTGCATCACGTTTCTGTATTTGCTTGTGTTGAGTATTTGGAGCATGTTTCTGTATTCGGTTGTGTTGTGAGTATTTGTGGCGCATTTCTGTATTCGGTTGTGTTGAGTATTTGGAGCATGTTTCTGTATTCGGTCGTGTTGTGAATATTTGCAGAGCGTTTCTGTATTCGGTTGTGTTGTGAGTATTTGCAGAGCGTTTCTGTATTCGGTTGTGTTGTGAGTATTTGCAGAGCGTTTCTGTATTCGGTTGTGTTGTGAGTATTTGTGGCGCATTTCTGTATTCGGTTGTGTTGAGTATTTGGAGCATGTTTCTGTATTCGGTCGTGTTGTGAATATTTGCAGAGCGTTTCTGTATTTGGTTGTGTTGTGAGTATTTGCAGAGCGTTTCTGTATTCGGTTGTGTTGAGTATTTGGAGCATGTTTCTGTATTCGGTCGTGTTGTGAGTATTTGCAGAGCGTTTCTGTATTCGGTTGTGTTGAGTATTTGGAGCATGTTTCTGTATTCGGTCGTGTTGTGAATATTTGCAGAGCGTTTCTGTATTTGGTCGTGTTGTGAATATTTGCAGAGCGTTTCTGTATTCGGTTGTGTTGAGTATTTGGAGCATGTTTCTGTATTCGGTCGTGTTGTGAGTATTTGCAGAGCGTTTCTGTATTCGGTTGTGTTGTGAGTATTTGCAGAGCGTTTCTGTATTCGGTTGTGTTGTGAGTATTTGTGGCGCATTTCTGTATTCGGTTGTGTTGAGTATTTGGAGCATGTTTCTGTATTCGGTCGTGTTGTGAATATTTGCAGAGCGTTTCTGTATTCGGTTG